GTCGTTATCGCCGGTCGTCGGGCGATAGATGCGCAGGTAAGTGACGTCCGGGTCGCCGGTCAGCACGAAGGCAGGAGGCACGATGGTCTGGTACAGCGGTGCCGCAGTAGCCGTCAGGGGATTGTCGGCGGAGTGGCGCGGCCACAGCCGGCAGACGCCGCCGGAGGCGACGTGGCTCCACTTGAGACAGGCGGCGTTCGCCTCGCAGTGGCAGGCGCACTGCGTGACCGAGGTGCCCGCTCTCTCAAATATGGCCGCCGACGCGTGCCGCACCGAGTGCCCCTTGTAGAACGTGCCACCGGCGCCTAGCCACAGGCACGGCAGCAGCGACAGCAGCATCATCGCCGGCCACTTCAGCCTCCACATGGCTGCCGGCCGTGCTGCGGCTCACACTAACTGTGTGGCGCCACGCACTGACCGCACTGCACGTCGAACCTGCGCACGTCTGTCGAGCGTACTGTTGCTTGACAGCGGCAATCACCAGGGACGACGGCGGTGAAACAGCGCCGTCTGCGGCTGTGGCATTGATTGCAGTGAAGGACGTTTGTGTCATCATATATGACACGAAATGCGTGGCGTACCGGCACGCGCGTGTGACTCCACTCCTGTATAAAATGGCTGGTGAGGAATGAAAGTTTGCCTTTGTCTTATGTCGAATGCATCCATATGTTCTGCTCACAAAGGGGGTTGCCGCTGATGCAGCCATAGCCGGTAGTGCAGTGCAGATGTTACAATCCAGTCCTTTCTAACATGGCGATAAATAACATGATCCTGATGACTGAGAGAATATTTGTCTGTGTTTAAAATGCCAGTGTCATCCAACAGCTATGTCTAGTATTGTCGAAGCGTTTATTTTCCTTTACGTTATCTCATCAAAGATCCTCCTGTTGCGAAAATTTCCCGTAAGCAAACAGCCCGCCTCACGCGGTGGGTCGGCGGCGGCGGTTTGGCGCCGCCCAGGGCCGCGTGACGTCGCTTTAGTCGGGTCGGTAGCAAGATAGATGTCGCTGCAGTCGCCGCGTCCGCCGAATCCACCTCCTAGCATGGACTGAGGTCCAGAGTTTCCCGCCGATCCGAGCCGGGGGAAGCAGAAGCTGGGACTGAAGCATCTGGCTGTTACTTGATCGGTTCCAATTTTCCGAATCAATAACGCTGCGAGTCAGCGCACTGCTTCTTTTCAGAGCGACAGTGGCACCGCATGGTAGTCAAGTGAGGCAACAGGTGATGCATTGAGAAAAGTGCGAAAGTGATGTGACGGAAACTAGCTCGCGCAACTCCCGCGTGCACAGATATCCAGTATTGCAGCATTATTCATCTCCCGTACCAGACTAATCCAGAGTAAAGCAGACGGGCTCCACAAGCATCTAAGCAAGCAAGTCAGGGAACACCAGCTGCTGTATCCTGGCTTCGCATACCATCCAATTCACGGTCACGCAAGCTATCGTGTCATCAATAGGCTGACCAACTGTCTGATTGAATACGCGAGGCACGGAACGAACGAAGCGCATGAAAAGTTTGCACATCGTCGTCAGAGTAATTGAAAATTAGGGAGCGGGGGACTGGGCCCCTTGTGGTTACATGGTTCCTAATACGGGCCCTTGAATGCTGGACCCTTCCGAACGCGATCGTTAAGCCTGATGCAAGTCCAGACATGGAAAGCTGAGCGACAGCTGATGTGCGTGCATGGAAACCTGAGCGGACAGCTGGTGTACGTCATGGAAAGCTGAGCGTCAACTGGTGTACGTACATGGAAAGCTGAGCGTCAGCTGGTGTACGTACATGTAAACCTGAGCGTCAGCTGGTGTGCATACATGGAAAGCTGAGCGACAGCTGATGTACGTGCATGGAAAGCTGAGCGACAGCTGGTGCACGTGCATGGAAAGCTGAACGACAGCTGGTGTACGTGCATGGAAAGCTGAACGACAGCTGGTGTACGTGCATGGAAAGCTGAACGACAGCTGGTGTACGTGCATGGAAAGCTGAGCGACGGCTGGTGTACGTACATGGAAAGCTGAGCGACGTCTGGTGTACGTGCATGGAAAGCTGAACGACAGCTGGTGTACGTGCATGGAAAGCTGAACGACAGCTGGTGTACGTGCATGGAAAGCTGAGCGTCAGCTGGTGTACGTACATTGAAAGCTGAGCGACAGCTGGTGCACGTGCATGGAAAGCTGAACGACAGCTGGTGTACGTGCATGGAAAGCTGAACGTCAGCTGGTGTACGTACATGTAAACCTGAGCGTCAGCTGGTGTGCGTACATGGAAAGCTGAACGACAGCTGGTGTACGTGCATGGAAAGCTGAACGACAGCTGGTGCACGTGCATGGAAAGCTGAACGACAGCTGGTGTACGTGCATGGAAAGCTGAACGACAGCTGGTGCACGTGCATTCATGTATTGCCAGAAGGCAGGCCAGGGCAGTCGCCATGGTATATCAAACACACAAGCTGGTCACTTAGAAAAGCTCATACGACAAAAACCACACAGTTGTACTTAGTATTGTGTCGACAAGCACCGATAGCAAAAGAACAAGGACGAGAAGACAGCTGTCACGGCTGAAGCATTGTGCTGGCTGTAAACGCACTCCGACGCCCCCTGCTTGTCACTTCTTCAAGAAGATCTGTCCAGACAGCTGCGGCTCGATACTGCAGGGAGCGTTTGACCGACGCATTTCTCACTGCTGGCAAGCTTAGCACGCTGTGTTTGGCTCTGGTTTGTCTCTGGATCACCTCTGATCTCCAGTGGCTCATCCCTGTGGCTCACCTCTGATCTCCGTGGCTCATTCCTGTGGCTCACCTCCGATCTCCGTGGCTCATTCCTGTGGCTCACCCCTGATCTCCGTGGCTCATCCCTGTGGTCACCTCTGATCTCCGTGGCTCATCCCTGTGGTCACCTCTGATCTCCGTGGCTCATCCCTGTGGTCACCTCTGATCTCCGCGGCTCATTCCTGTGGCTCACCTCTAATATCCGTGGCTCATCCCTGTGGTCACCTCTGATCTCCGTGGCTCATCCCTGTGGCTCACCTCTGATATCCGTGGCTCATCCCTGTGGTCACCTCTGATCTCCGTGGCTCATACCTGTGGTCACCTCTGATCTCCGTGGCTCATTCCTGTGGCTCACCCCTGATCTCCGTGGCTCCTCCCTGTGCCTCACCTCTGATCTAGGTGTAAAGGGGGCGCGCAGAAACAGCGGAGCGTAGGAGCGAAGTGGTGTTGGTGAGTGGTCACTTTATCCAGTACAAGAAAATCGTGGCAGTGATCATAAGGGATAGAAAACTGGAGGAAGGCGCCGTGCGTCTAAGCATGGGTCAAAGGAGGTGTTCCACAGTTGTGTGGGGGTTTGTGCTGAAATATCCAGTCTGAAGATTATTAGGTGCAGCTGACAACCCTGCCGTTCTTAAAACCCAAAATTATCTAGTTTTTATGCTGCGCACAATGTGCCGATTTTTTCGTGCACACTGTTTAAACGGCATTCTAGCATGCATGGCACCACAGAAACGTCATTCAAATCCTACCACGTTATTAGGCCATGCGGTGTTCAAGACCAAGAAGAGTATGATCGTCGAGACGTTCATATCTGACGTTCGTGAACTCGATTTCCGGACATAATGGACGCTCATTGGCTCCCAATGAATGTTGAGCAGGCTGTGCAAGCTCCAATCATGAACACGTTTTGTGCTACGTAATATAAGCAGCCAAACATGGTGCTAGGTATGATGGAAACAGGACTTGTAATCGAATTACTTAACAATAGCGGCCATGACCGAGTGCCTGAATGCAAATAAGCACATTAAATATCGGTTTAATATGGACACCACCACGAGAAAGGGACAAAACGAGTGCTCGAAATAACATTTCGTTTTACTATCACTTCCGGCACTGCTGCAGCCACCTCTCGGGGGATTGAAGCACTATTAGTGAGTGTCAGGGTGGAAGTTGTCGCACGGCCGGCTTGGCAGCACCTCAACGTCATACAAACGTTCCATGACGCTATCAAACAATGGCGTACTGAGGCCCATACGTACTAAATAAAGACATTGTCTTGTAGAGAGCAGCCGGAGCAGAAGTGAAAGTGGGCTAGTAGGGAACGCAGCATCGCCTTCCCATTAATCACAATGATAGTTCTGGTTTGTGGTCGGCCAGCAATTTTCACCAATAGCTAAGTCTTTATGCTGTCTTTATCAATATCTTTGAAAAAGAGAGAGAGAGAGAGAGAGAGAGAGAGAGAGAGAGAGAGAGAGAGGAGAGAGAGAGAGAGAGAGAGAGAGAGAGAGAGAGAGAGAGAGAGAGAGAGAAGAGAGAGAGAGAGAGAGAGAGAGAGAGAGAGAGAGAGAGAGAGAGAGAGAGAGAGAGAGAGAGAGAGAGAGAGAGAGAGATAGAGAGAGAGAGAGAGAGAGAGAGAGAGAGAGAGAGAGAGAGAGAGAGAGAGAGAGAGAGAGAGAGAGAGAGAGAGAAGAGAGAGAGAGAGAGAGATATTATATAATATGTGTGTGGTGTGGTGTGTGTGTGTGTGTGTGTGTGGTGGTGTGTGTGTGTGTGTTGTGTGTGTGTGTGTGTGTGTGTGTGTGGTGTGTGTGTGTGTGTGTGTGTGTGTGTGTGTGTGTGTGTGTGTGTGTGGTGTGTGTGTGTGTGTGTGTGTGTGTGTGTGTGTGTGTGTGTATGTGTGTGTGTATGTGTGTGTGTGCATGTGTGGTGTGTGTGTGTGTGTGTGTGTGTGTGTGTGTGTGTGTGTGTGTTGTGTGGTGGTGTGTGTGTGTGTGTGTGTGGTGTGTGTGTGTGGTGTGTGTGTGTGTGTGTGTGTGTGTGTGTGTGTGTGTGTGTGGTGTGTGTGTGTGTGTGTGTGTGTGTGTGTGTGTGTGTGTGTGTGTGCGTGAGTGTGCGTGTGTGTTTGTGTATGCGTGTGCATGCATGCACGCGTGCATGCGTGCGTGCGTGCCTGCCCCCGGGAGTGCGTGCGGGAGTGCGTGCGGGCGTGTGTGTTACGGAAATGGCAATGAACAGATCAAATGAGTTGCACATTTATTGATAAATGCACGCCGATACCCGGTTTGTGTGACAGGTTAAGTGCCGCACCAACATCGCCGCGGTCAATGCGCTTCATAAAAACGTCATTATGTTTCGGCACCAGCATTAACAGAGCACCACAATCTTGCGGCCGGATTTTCACACTTTGTAGCACTGAGCCATGGCCGGTCATCTGAGGCCAGCTGGCTTGCTGAGATTGGCTTCGGCAAAGCGGTGCTGCCATGCTTTTCCAACGTGAATGACATCATTCAAGTTAATAACTGTTCTGTTGCGCTGCGTTTCAAATCGATGAGCCAGCCCACGTTCATCATCTTGCGAATGTCAGTAACCGTTGAGGCTGTTTGTGCCGAGGTCAGTTATGTGTTGTATTTCGTGGCCCGGATCACGCGTACGACAACGACATCCTCACGATCGAGGGTGATGACATCCATCAACATCACCATTATCACTGCCTTCATCATTGTTGACACTACTGGAATCACCAGTGTCACAACGAGCATCATTGCTACCCGGATGATCACCATCGCCAGCATCGATCTCATCGTCATCATCTTCTCCACCACACAGTCACCGTCACCGCCACCCTCATTATCCTCATCGCCACCCGCGTTACACGGACGGCTAGATGATGATGCCGCCCGTCAGAAACGCGGCCGTGCGGTGCGTCCACTCCAGGTAGGCCGACACCCTGGTGTAGACCCCGGGGTTACCCGCCTGGCCGCACTTCCAGCCAAACGAGACGACTCCAGCCGCGAACCATTGGCCTGCCGCAGCCGATGTCCGAGTCAGTGCCGCAGCCAGTGCCACAGTCAGTGCCAAAGTCGGTGCCAAAGTCGATGCCAAAATCGGTGCCAAAGTCTGCTGCTTTTAGTGTCACAGTCGGTGTCACGGTCAGTGCCACAGTCAGTGTCACAGTCCCTGCCACAGTAAGTGTCACAGTCAGTGCCGCAATTAGCACCACAGTCAGTGCCACAGTCCGCATCACAGTAGCGCCACAGCCAGTGGCACAGCCAGTACCGTAGCCACCAACACAATCAGTGCCATTGCCAATACCACAATCAGTACCACGGTCCGCGCCACAGTTATCGCCATCGTTAGCGCCACAATGAGTGTCACAGTCCGCAACACCGCCCGTACCACAGTCCTTGCCAGTCAGCGTCACAGTCCGCTCCACAGCCCGTACCACACTCCGTGCCAGTCAGCGTCTCAGTCCGTGCCAGTCAGTGTCACAGTCCGCTCCACAGCCCGTACCACACTCCGTGCCAGTCAGCGTCTCAGTCCGTGCCAGTCAGTGTCTCAGTCCGTGTCACATCCAGTGCTACAGTTCGCGCCACAGTCAGTACTACAGCCCGTGTCAGTCAGTGTCAGTCATTGTCACTCCTACCTTCCAACATGGCAGGAAGGGTGGTCGGGCACAGCGGGGAATACAACCGCACGTCTGTGGTATCCCAGGCACGCAGCCCATCCAAGAGGCTATCAGTTCCCGGTCTTTCCGAGGGTGCACCACCCTCGAGGGGACCTATACCTATAGCGATGGTGAAAGATATTAACACGAATTCTGTCTGGGCTCGGAACGCCTCCTGGGTAGAGTTCCGGGGCGCTGGCAGCCAACGCGAGAATAGCGAAACTTTGTGACAAGCTTGGTCTCACGTTTGTAAGCGAGTGGTTGACGAACATGTTCTTCAGGGAATCTAGCCCCCCGGGGATGAGAGAGGGGCGAACGAAGAACACATTAAATGATAATTCAAAATTGGTGAACAGTGAGCCAAAAAGAAGTGTAGGAAAGCTTGTCCTTCTATGCGCAAACGCAAAAGTATCGGAAAGAAGTTTGGCAAGCTCCATGCTCACACGCTGCAAGAAAATTTAGACCTGGTAGCTATCACTGTATCTTGGAGGAGTGGGTCCCTCTTTGGGACAGTGTACCAGAGTTTACGGTACCTGATTATGAGGTGTTTTCTTTTCATGGAACAAATGATGTGGAATATTCACATACGTAAGACAGAATATGAAATGTGAAATTATAGCCAACATGAAGAAAAGCGATAGGGCAAAATCCGTTTGGATCGCTTTGATTATGCCGCAGGGCACCAAATCACGTGTTGGATCTTTCTATATGCCTTCAAATAGTTGTCAGAATGTGGATGCAGATGTATGTGAAGAAATGGGCCGAGGTGTGAATGGAAAATGTGTAGTGCTTGGAGGTTGTGCTTGTGTAGTGCTTGGAGGTTAACATCCCGGGCTGGAGCGTAGAATTTGACCAATTGGCAAATAGTCACACGAATGTTTTTGCTTGTTTTAAAGAACGTTTCTTCATCAGGTGACTTGCAAACCCACTAAGCGAAATGAGGTTTTGGATCGTGTTATTATTAATGAAGAGCGGTTGGTAGATATATTGACAGCAAGCGAGACGCCGGGAAATGGTGACCATAACATTGTAAGTTTCCGATTGTATCTAGGTTATTTAGGTAAGACTAATCATACTCTTATTCCAAATTTTGCTGGAGGTAAGTTTTGAAGAACTTACAGCCTTTATTGCTAGTTTCCAGTGGGAGGATTCTCTAGCTGGGCTCACTGTAAATCAAATGTGGGAAGTGTTCAAGGATACTTTTGAAGAAGGACAACAAACGATCGTTCTCTTTACGAGGAAATTGCGCAGGGAAGCCGCCACGGCTGACGCAGACAGCGCGCAATTTGATGGCAGTGAAGGAGACGGCATTTGAGAGGCAAAAATGCAAGGCACAGAAAGCAGCAACACAGTGTGCAGAATTGCTACCAAAAAGCTAAGAACAAAATTCAGGGCAGCCAAAAATTATCAGAAATATGGCTAGCAGATACTTGCTCTGGCTACGTCAAGAAGTTTTGGGCTACTACAAATTCAGATATAAGGGATGTTCTGTCGGCCGTCTCGAGGAAGATCTTTAGGTCTTTAGGTCTTTAGGTTTAGGAGGAAGACCTTTAGTGCAGGGCAGAGATATTGTAGATGCTCTTAGTAGACCGTTTTATTCACTTTTTACAAAGGAGACTATGTGTGATGTCCCTGAAAATAGGCCAAATCTGACTGAAGGTAGTCTTGTAGATTTGACGGTGACCAAGAGTAAATGACAGCTTAAAGGAAATGAAGGTGAACAAGGCGGGAGGGCCTGACCAGGTGAATGGCATAGTATTGAGGGACAGCGCTAGTATTTTAGCGTATTTTCTTATGTGCCTTATTTAATAAATCATTGAACTTTTCAAAGTACCCGAAGACTGACGTAAAGCCAATGAAGTAGTATTTTTTTTTAAAGGAGGGGACCAAAAAAGGTTTTAGCAACTACAGGCTAGTCCGTCTGACCTCACTAGTATGAAAGATCTTAGAAAAAGTAATTAAGGCTAGCATTGAGTCTGACTTAGATAGGCGTCAATTGATAAATAGCAGTCAGCATGGTTTTTTCTGGCAGGTCCTGGTTGACAAATCTTCTGGAGCTAACGGTGCATATTACTATTGAGGTAGATAAAGGCAATACTTAAGACGTTGTTTTTGTAGATTTTAGTAGGGCGTTTGATATGACGCCACACCAGCGTCTCTTATATCATTCATAATTGCATGCATCGACGGGATTTTTTTTGGCTGGTAAGGGGTTGGCTGCAAGACAGGAAACAAATAGTAGTGCTCAAACAATGTTGGGCTCCTCAGAACCAGACACTTCGAATGCTGGGACTTAATAACAGGAATATCCATTAAAAGAGTAGAAATATTGTCAAAAAGTTGTACTTAGCTTACATCAGACCACACCTAGAGTATTTTGCACAAGCTTGGTTCTCAAGCTTCCAAAAAGATACGGATGGGCTTGAGAGCGCGGAGGGAAAAGCAACTAGAATGGAAAATCGGATTAGCAGCTTAGAATACAAGACAAGGCTTAAGGCCTTATATTTGTATTCACTGAAATGTCGTAGGCTTAGAGGGGATCTGACAGAGGTACTCAATATTATGAAAGGGATAAATATGGTAGATCTACGAGGGGCACTAAAAATTAGGCCGAGACTTAGAGGAACCGGTTTCCATTAGCAGACGGTAGGAGTATAATTATGAAGAGGCAGATGCCATTTAGTCTAAGATAAGGTGACCATTGAAATGAACTGCCAAACGAAGTTGTAGGAAATCCCTCCCTAGCAACATTTAAAAATAGTTTGGACAAGTTCCATCGGTTTAAGGATCCCACAGCTAAACCCAGGCAGGTCAGGCGGGAAGCGTAGTGCCAAGGATGGGTGCGGAACCTGGCGTAAGTCAACCTCGATGGCCCTTGTCGCTCTTTGGTGGCCTGATGTCTTCATGTCTTTACGACACACCTGAAGCGGTCATTAAGTCGCTCAAGTTGCCGCTTATACGTCATTTCTAAATTATCTGCCAAGAACAATTGCTCAAGAGCTGAGGACCAGTGCCTCACTTGGTTTTGATTTGAGCAGACACCGACGTCACTGATTTCCAAAACGCGTCCTTGCCGGATTGCGTCTGCCGGTACTAGCACCAGCGCCCTTGCTGGATCGGTGTGGTGGCGAACAGTTACCTGTCTCGTCGCGGCAGCTGAGAGGCCCGCCGCTGTCACCCTGGCACGTGTCCACGCCACCTTCTTCCCGGCCAGCGCAGACCATCAGTCGCTCGTCAAAGCTGGCGGCCCCGCGACGAAACAACGTGAGGCGGGGAGTGCGCGCGGGTTCGAATCTCATCCGCGGCTCGTTTTTCGCTGGTGGTGGTAATGTTAAGTCCGGGTAAGATGCGGGGCGCTCTGCGATCAGAGTGGTCCCTCTCCCCATGTAGAGACCATGATGCAATCAGAATTCCTCATAGCTAAAGCTGTCCTATCATAAAAATAGCGTCGTTCTAAAACTGCATGTTCGATAACATCCAACCATCTACGATGAAGGCCTCGTCCTTTCTCATCAGCTCAGGCACGTAAAGAGAAACTAATTCGAAGATATCACGGCACTGCACGGCGAGTCTCGAGTACAATTTTGCACCTTAAACTATGCACCCTTGTAGGGTACGACACACATGTGCATCGATCTGGAGAGCAGCCATGACATCCGCAAAAACCTCGGAAGAACGTGGCCCCTCTGACCGGATACTAATCCTAGTGGATCCAGACAGATTCTCGCGAGCCGCCCCGTCGCCCCACCCAGCTGACCTCCTCCGATAGGCGCGTTTGCAGATGGCCGGGTCCAGGATGTTGATGATGGCTCCTCTCAACACGCCCGACGGCTCATCCTTATCTGATTGGTTGGGATCCACCAGACCTGCCCAAGAGGTCCAGCTCAGGAGCTGCGCTTTGGCTCCGAGGAGGAGACAGAGACAGAGACAGGGACAGAGACGAGAATGGGGACGGGGACGGGGACAGAGACGGAGACAGAGACGGCGACAGAGGCGGTCACGGGGACAAAGGCGGAGGCGGAGGCGGAGATGGAGACAGACAAAGAGAAGACAGAGACAGACACAGGCATAGACACAGATACAGACACAGACACAGACACAGGCATAGACACAGATACAGACATAGACACAGACACAGACACAGGCATGCATATATATATATATATATATATATATATATATATATATATATATATATATATGCGCGTTTCAGCAATGTTTTGTTGATAACCACATTCCAACCACAATGAAGTACAAAACCATCATGTGTTGTTTTCATAGGTTTTAGGAACATTTTCCTCCCAGTGCGACATTTGAGACAAACCTGAGTTTTCTAAAACCCATCCGGACAGCAGACAGACGCCGTCCTGACACATTCGGAGGAGTGGCACTCGTTCCAACGGACGGTGTGTCGACATACAGACAGACAGACAACACCATCCTACCCTATCTGGAGATGTGACACTCGCTCCAACGGACGGTGCGTGTTGGCACACAGACAGACAGACAGACAACACTGTCCTGCACTATCTGGAGATACGACACTCATTCCAACGGACGGCGTGTGCGGGCACACAGACAGACAACGATATCCTGTCCTTTGTGGAGATGTGACACCCCTACCCGATGGGCAAGGCTATGTTGACACGCAGACAGACAGGGTGTCTTACAGACAGATCGTCTTGCAGACAGACTGTCTCGCAGACAGATGTCTTACCCCAGCCGGAGATGTGGCATTCCTGCCCGACGAACAGCGTAGTGTTCACCGTGGGCAGACAGAGGGGCTGCACATAGTCGTTGAACATCAGGGCCTGTGGCGCGCCTATTGGGAACTTTAGCTTAAACAAGGCGATGTCGTTCCTCTGGCCGGCCAAGTTCTCTGAAACATCGTTGGTATTACAGCATCGTGATCACCATGCACTGATGTGTGATGATGTTAGCGTCGTTCTCTGACCATCTGGCCTCTTTCTAACGAGGTCTGTGTAGCGATGAACGCCGAAATGCGAGCTTTTTTGTGGCATAGTGACCCCAGGCGACCTCATAACAGCAGTAAATTGGTGAGTTATCCAAGTCTTCGGTCGTGATTTCCGTTATCAAGTACAACACCAGGCAAAATGTGCAATCATCGGCCACGGGCGGGCTTTATTTAGTTGGCTTCGTCAGACCATGTTCATTTGAAGCAGTGCACCTTGACCTTGACCTTGTGCTATTCCAACCCGGCAAACTGTCACCGCTTTGATGTGAGTACCTGGTGTCTGGCGTATTATTATCTCTTTACCATAGATGGTCAACCAAGATGCAATCAAGTCATTAACCACGCAGCCAAAGCTATTGCCATTTGGTAATAGCTTTGAACCAGCAAACCATCCAGAGAAAACCAAGCTACGCAGCCGGATGCCTCTTGAAACGTCCAGAGCTCATAAAGACCAGTGGTAAAAACCAGAATCGCAGCATTCAGCGTTCACAACATCCAGAAACCGTACAAAATTCCTGGACAGAGGAGAGTCATAAAGTCCAGGCTCGCAGCGTCCAGTGCTCATGAAGCCCAGCGTTCATAAGTCCAGCGTGCGTGAGATTCACGGGTTGGGATACTGCCCCACTTCCTCGCAACTCTTTACCTAATGGTTGGGAATTTGCCCGGTAGAGGGCTACCGGACCCGATTTCGCCCGCCTAAGGCGACGAGTGACATCATGTGGTGCAGTGCTGCCCAGTTAAACCACTGCGTATGGATGTAAACAATGTTTTGTTTGAGCGCGCAAACTTTGCCGCGTCAGCACGCCCTTGCAGCAGGCGCATCAAAAAATACAAAACTTTGATCCCTGGCTCGTAGCAGCGGAAATAACTGGTTACTCGGCAGTTTCTGTACGGTAATCCTGGAAAGCACTTATCGTGTTGCCTGCCATTTGGTACTGTGGGGTATGGATACAAGTTTCCGCGGCATTTGGTTCCGTTATTTGCTGTATGTGTTGGCGATGTTTCTAATTTTTTAAAGGGATTGATTACTCATGTGTAAGGCTTGACTGATTTCATGTCTGCTCCAGGTAGGCGCGCATATATATCTCCAGCTCCTGGCACGCTAACCTATATTGTTAGTGATTTTATTTCACTGATTCCCTTCCCTCTCCCAATTGCAAATTCTTCCACATGCTCCTGCAAACAGGACTTATTCTGAATTCTGCATGCCTTTACTCTCAAAGAGAGGGATGGGGGCTGTCTCATCAGTTGAATCCGGATACTACTCCCTGGTGACACGTTCGATGGCCCAGCCTTTTTGGCCCAACAATTTGTCTCTTAAATCAGGTACGTTTTAAACGGTCGTCGTTTACCAAAATAAGTCGGTTGGCTGAGCGATGGAAATGTAACAGTACCGTGAAAATTTGCCAACAAATTGGTTTCGTTCCGAATTTGGCTCACTTTTTCACAAATCTGCAGGCTGCAACCCATGTTACAGCGGGGGATGAAACCCCTGCGACTGAATAGGGAACCGCACTCCTGGTTGCAAGTAAACAGGTAGTAAAAAAGCAAACGTTGACTGCGAAGTGTTTCAGTTGCCTGCCAAACGTCACACAGAACACTACGCACGAGCCGCGCTTAATGGCACTGTTGATTCACTATCCAAATAGCGCAACCGAGCATATGACACTGAGCTGGTTTGCGATATATAACCTGAATGAATTGGGAGAATCATGTGCCTGTCTTCGCCATCCACTTCATCAATCTTGACGCGGTTTCTTCCTTTTACGCTTCACAACCTCCTAAGTATAGAATTTAGGGTCCAGCAATAACAGTCTAGCGTTTATCGAGACGGGTGCAGTTCGTGCCGAAGAGGGGTGATGTGCTCTGTAGCACATCTATTGCCAGAACACAGGACACCCAAACAGGAACACAAGTGAATCCATTGTTAGCAAAAAGTCGGCGACCAGATCTCAGGGCTCATCATGGTCGATTCTGCAAAAGTCATAGGTGCCTTTATGTGTGATGTGTGCTGGCTTAAAATCGTTTACATGTTTAAGTGATGCCCGAGATGTAATATGCGATGCCTGTTCAATTGAAATTGCTTGCATTTTTAATTTATGGGCAACGTGTGATGTCTGTTTACTACAACCTGTTTGCATGTTTGAACTAAGTGTGATGCATCATGTCCATTTGCTTGAATTCGCTTGCATGTACGCGTATGTTCGCGCATTCTAATTCTTAGATAGGCGCTGTATCGTGGCAATGGCTGGCAATCGCTCTTAAATGCTGTTGTCCTGTAAAAACTGTAGGTCGCTGGCTTAAAACAAGACCTGAAAAATCGAGTACGTAGCATCGACAAGAAATTTTGAATTCACTTCTATGATTGTTTCGATAACGGCATGTTGCCGAAATATCAACCCAACTATATCTCCATTCTCCCGGTTTTTCTGCAAGGACTAAGGCTAATACCACTATTTTATCTAAGTACGACATAATTGCAAGCTTACAAGCAAAGGCTAGTAGAAAAGGCTACGCAGACGTGACGTCACAAAGTTTGGCAACCTGCAGTATGGTTTTTGGTTGATACTACGAAAAGGTTGGTAGATACTAGTGAGGTGATTAAAAACGGAGATTTCGCCATTGAACTGGATGGCAACTCTGTTCTACATCTCTATTTTTATGTTATGTGAAAAGATGTTGTAATTTTGCATTTCACAACTTCTGAAGACAACTCAATACTAGGATCTGATTCCAAAAATATATCCCACTAAACTACGTTTTCTAGTTCCAGCACCCGCGCCATATTTAAATTGTTGAGTTAATAAATTAATGCCAAGTTAATAAATTGATGTCGCAAATAATGTTAATGTTAATTTGTTGAACAATGGTTGCGCAAATCTTTGCACTACAGTGCCTAAATGGAGTGAAATGTGAAAATAAGGTTATGATCTTCCTGGATGCTGGTTAATATGCAGAGCTATAATGTTGGATGGGTTAGATAAAAATGGTGCACAGAGGAGACTTCTTCGGAGTTGAGATATGGGATTCGACTTTTTAACTGGTAGAGATGACAAAACATGCCAGAACACGGCTCATTTACAGGAATATTCCGCTATCTTGAACTGAAATGGTACGCACTACATTTAAGCCCCCGGGGTTCACCACTCACTACCCCCATAAGGGCGGGCCAGCCCCGCATTTAACCTGACAACGCGCTCCCCGATGCTACAGGATGTGCATTCCAACTTCTCAATGCTCGTCCCAGGGTGCTGCGAGCCCGTCTAGCCCGCCGTATGCCCCTTCTATCCAATGTTGTTGTTGTTGTTGCATGTTGTACTCTTTTACACGGACTGTTTCGAAGCACTTCCGGCTCAAGTTCTTCGGGATAAATCACTGGTGAATGGGTAACCCCATCTGTCTGTCGGGGGAGGCTGGAAGCGCATCTCAGCAATAACTGTGTGGCTCTGGTGCAAGCCAGTGCCATTTCCCAGCTGACAATGTTTCATTGAATGTACTAGGTCAAAAAAATCGGTTTGTGGAAATATTTATGCTTAAACCATCCCGCAAAGAACAGCGTTTTCACACCGCCATAGCGTTGGTGCCATATGATTTAGTCCCATGATGACGTCGCAGCATTACTACCCAGAATGCAGTAATGCGGGGGCTTGTTCACAAACGTACTACGATATCGACTTTGTCCAAACTTTCATTCCAGAAAATGTCCATTCAAGAATGGGACGTTGAGAACTATAAGTAATACAAGGCCACGTAATATGGCAATCTGTATCATCTTTGTATCATGAGCTGTGGCGACTTCCTCAACGACCAACGAGAAGAAGCGAAAGCTGTCATCAGATTTATCAAGGAAGCATCCGAAAAGTTTATCAACGCTAACGCCGATGTGATATATGTTGGCATATTTTGGCAGAATTCTTTCTTTGATGCATGTTTCATTAAAAATAGCTGCTGACTCAGCATTGACGAGCTTTTTGATGCATCGTTCTAGTTTCCGGGCCATTGACTTGACGTCATCGCTTAGATTAATGATGGTTCGCACAAAATTACTCATATATTCATCACTCCTTCCATTCTAATTGCGTGTCCCCGTTCACTAACGGCAGTCTCATGGCAGGCCAATGCGAATACACCTTCAAAATAAATATGTCTCAAAAACACTGCCACGCCAAATGCTCATATGCATCATATATTTTGCGTGATTGACGGCGACAAGTTATTTAGATGCCTCTTTCGGTAAAAATTACAGCATATCGTGCAAATCTCTGCTTATTGTTAAGATTCTCTAGCCTTCAGAGCATTTGGCCGAATTATGGCCGGAGTGACATAACGGGAGAGTTTTGTCACCCACAGTTCGGAGTGCAAATGTGTGGATTCATCTAATGTTACGCTCAGATACTATGTAGTTGATAGTAATATCCCTTCTGCATGTGCGTTGTACGTACGTTTAAGTACCTATCCTCGCTGTATGTGTTGACCATCGCCCTGGTTCGCCGTTTTGCATAACTCAGATTGATAGGTAGAGGGGATGGGGGGGGGGGGGGTTGATGCGACCCTCCCCCGACGTTTCCAAGCTTATAAAGATAGAGTTTGCCGAGAACACCAGTATATCATTCTGAACACGATCTCACGATTGGCACTAGTTTTTATATTGTTAACAGGTCAAAGGCCGAATTTCCCAGAAAACCGCTCTTTGCAGCTTCACTTTGTCTGCGAGAACAAGCCTTGCGATGGCGCGAAACTTAAACTGGCGTGTGTCTTGTTCAATTCTGAATACATTCTGTACTGCAATTCTCCTGCCGCCCGCCGCCCGAGCCAGTCATAGATTGCCGTGGAATGCTCATTACAAACAGCCGCTGCTCCGAAACCAGAAAATCTAGGAACACGTTTTGTTATCAAAACGCGTCCCATAATCTCCGGCCTATCATCGCGGGGGTTAAACGTCATGTTATTACTGCGTTGGGCATCGGCAACGACTTTTTGTGAAACGATATTCCTCATTTCGCTAATAACTGAAGCCATAGCTGGCAAAACAGTAAAAACAATGCTTGCTTGCTTCCACATTTGCTTGTTCCCAGCTTGACCTCACGCTGACCCCGTCCCAAAAGGCCAAGCCCCTCGCAACAAATTGCGATCTTCCCGTGGGCTGGCGCCGAAAGGTGCGGCTTTCAAGGATCTTTGAAGCGGTGCTTATTACAAATGAACTTGACACGGGATGAGCGATGGAGTATGCAATAGGCGTATAACAGCGGGCCGTGTGTAGCAACGCAGCGTGCATAGCTGTTCGCGTGCGTACCTGAACCACTGGCGGGCTCCTGTCGACTTGAAGGAAACATGCGCTTAGACATGCGTGGGGAGAGTTTAGGGGCAGCATGGCCCAGTACACAAGTCTCGTGCGAAGGAGGCGCCAGCTACATTGCATGTACAAACAACACTTTTCGCGACATAGAATTGGGTTTTGCAGTCATAAATACAATACGGCATTTTCTCAGATCCACAACAAAGTGACATAAATGGGGCTTACGCGTGGAGCCGAATGACGAATTAGGAATAAAGATCGGGCTGCGATTTGAGGCGATGAGGTGCGTCTTGTCAACCGACCTTGACCAATGGCGGATCCAGAATGGAAGGGGGTGGGCGTGGGATGGGGCTATGCCTCCTGTCCCTTTGGGGCGAGTGGGCAACAAAATATTATGCTGAAGGGGCAGCAAAATCTTCATTTCGGATCCACATGACCTTCATTTTCAAAAGGACCCAAAGGTCGGTCGTTGTTCCCTCATATTCTGAAGCAGCCCAGCTGTCCAGCCTCAACGGACCCAGAAAAACTCCGGTAAGCTTAAACGGTGACGTCACCTAAGTCTGCCTGGTGACCTGACCTGAAGATGCCCACTGATCCAGCCAGCAGTTAACCGAACACCAGTCCTGCATCTGTGCACGTACCTGACCTGTAGAGAAAATGTTTATGAGTCTGCTGGACTGCGAATATTCTCTCGAAGGGGTCCGCACCACCCAAGTTGTGCTGCGCGACACGAACCTGAAAGAATGTCAGCGTTTCTCGCGCGTCCGTTCACACTGTGACATGTTGCAATGCTCTGAGGTTTTGCAAGCTACACACATGGTTCTATCTGATGATCCAAGTATTTATCTCCAAGATTAGAATCCCACTGGTCTTGATGCCACGTTATTTTTCTACGTTACGTGGTTTAATTAGAAGTTGGTACAATGAATACGAACCATTTTGGGCTGCCTCTTTTGTTTCCTTCAGGAAAATGCAATCCTGTTTTCACACGGCATTTTGAGTCGGCTAGCACTTATGTATTAATGCATATCATTGCATAAGGCTGAACTAGGGGCATGTCATTGTGGCAGTAGGGAGGCCATCGGCATCTATCACAACACGGCAACCAACAACCATGTACTTAACAAGCCTCTGGTGGTGCCCTTTCCGTAGCGAAGCCACCGCCAAACGTGTGTCTAGTTCTGCCACGCCTCAGTTATCGCAACGCAGTGCTCATTCTGCGACAACACTTGACACGATTCACGAAAACGCAATTATTTTCGGCGCGACGCATAGGACAGGATTCGAACCCACGCCCTCTCGATGACGGGCTAAGCGCGTGGCAGCCGCCCTTGCACACCTGGTAGTTGTTCTCGTTCTTGGTGTGGCAGTGCGCGGCCGACAGGATCAGGTTGGGCGATATGACGATCCCTCCGCAGCTGTGCTGGTAGCCGCGATTCACGGCGATCTCGATCTGCGCCTGTCAGCGGAGCGTCGCATTCGCGATGCTGGGACGTCGGCAATTTCAACGACGCTGCCGTAACGCCGACATTTTCAGCGGCGTTATATAACGCCGACATTTTCAACGGCGCTGTTATAACACCGGGAATTTCGTGCTGCGTGTAAGGCAATGGACTACACGCTTTACTTGCGCGCACATGATGTACATCGTTTTGTCGTTTTGCGGGGTTTTAAGACGCGACATTAGCACGGACCAGGGGGGTAGCTTTGCAAAATATTTTGGAGGCTGAGCTGCAAAAATGACTGAAACCAGCCTCCAAAATATGCAAAATACAGGTTTCCCCCCCCCCTTTTTTTTTGTCCGGTACGACCACAAGGTCAAGGGAAGGGGCTCCTCTATCATCAGAGAGTCCTCTGTCGTCCTCTGGTGTCTCTCCATTTGGAAGTGAAATTTCTTCCACTGCAGACCAGTATTTGGTGTATTGTTCCTGCCATTTGTATTAATTCGCGCACGATGATTGAGCCCGTTACTTCTCCGCTTGTCGCTAGGTGCTGGTCTTGAAAAGGCCGGGGATGTTTGATGCACACTTGGTGCGGGTGAAAAAACCCATGAGGCTGCTGTTTAGGAGTGGGACGTACCATCTTACTCAGCTGAGGGTAGTTAATGTCCAGTTTGTGAGCGGCTTCTTGCTGAAAGGAAAATGTTAAGCCGTCGTTGAAATTTAGTATCAAAGATTCAAATGTTCTTATGCGTTCGTTATAATTAGCTTTGGTTCAGGTAGAGAGGTTTTGTTTTCTTGTGGCATAAGCTCGGCGTCGGTGTAATTCGCCACCCAAGTTGCACTGCTTGAGTTCGATGGACAATTCCTCGCTGTCATTTTAAAACGTGCCGGCCTGCGGGGGGACCGTAGTCGTTCCACTTAATGGCACGACACAGTCGCACGCAAAAACGTCGTCACATGTAGGCCCTGCGGGTCATTAGAGCATAGAGAATATTAGGGCATTATGGTGATGGGCCCTCCCTTTTGCCAGATCACTTCCTTTCAGTGAACCATGCTGGAAACAATACTCAACATAAATGATGTTAAAAAAAATACTACAGAATAAGCACTGGTGGTACTACTAACATAACTGTTGCTGATAACATAATCTTCCAACACTTACTCATATTAGTAATAAAGACGCTATAGAATGCTTAAAATAAATTGCGTCTCTAAACTAATTCTATTGGGACGCCACGGTCATGCTGACAACACCAGCTGGTGTCGTCGGCGAGCGCCCACCTGCCACGGGTACGAGCCGGACGCCACGGGGGCGCCTCCAATCACCCTGGTCTGCTCTTGTCGTGGAGCCAGCAAGCGCACGTTGTCGCTGAGTCCGAAAGTCGGCCGGGTGCCGCACTCTTCAGGAAAGTCAAACGTGTACGACGGCTCCGCGGGCGTCGTGGGTGGCGTGGGTGGCGCCACCGTCGAAATTGTAGGTGGCGCGGTCGTCACAGACGGCGTGACGCCAGTATGCGGCGGCGTTGCCGTGGTAACCGGCGGACTGCTGGTGGGCTGCGGCCCTTGGTCGCTGAGCACGAACCGAGGGTCCAACGGGTCTGGGAACGACCAGAGAAGACCACATGGCTGAAATAGGCAGCACTGAGTCATGCTGGCAGTGTCAGCACAGTTAAGGGCCTAAGAACGGTCAGCAGGGGAAAACCAGTGGCGGGGAGCGCGAAGCTGTATAGCATTCGATACCGGGAAAGACCCTAGGTACATATGCTGAAATATACACAGGCTCTCTGCGTTGTACGGATACCCGTATATTCTTGGTCTCACTCTGGTGGGCGAGTCGAACATAGTTCGGTACACATTTACACCTCACGAAACATCGTTTCGGTCATAACGTAGTCACGAATGAAACATTGACGGGGTTCCTTTCCTTAGTAATGACAATCGATGTAGTCATCCGTGCAAATAGTCGATCAGCTGGTAACTTCCGGGGTCCCGACCCCAACGACCACCGTAATGGTCACACCCAGGGCTTTAGCTTCACCCAGGGCTTCAACTTCATGACCACCCAGGGCTTCAGCTACATGACTTCGCGATTTAATTGATAACATTTATAACGCTGAACCAAGGCGTGCGTCTGTTGAACGTTACGACGAAAGCCAACAATTCGAATTGCGAGAAGAACAGGACCTCCTCTTTAGACACGACTCTCCGAGCTATGATGGCCGCGAGCACCCTCGGCTCGCTTTGCGAGGCACGGACAGGTCCTGGTGGCTCACATTTACAGCTAGGGCCGATGCCGTCATCTATTGGTTGCTTGACGTCACCTCCGGTGGCGGCTTACGTCATCTCACCTTCTAGTACGCGGATCTGGTTTTCTTTGACGTCGATGGCATGACTTCCAGCCCCTTGCGTGAGGAGGATGAAGAACAAGCCGCCTAGCTTGCGCACAGGACGTCTCGTAGTAGTTCGAGCCCGGAGAGCCCACGGGGACTGCAGTACAGCAGCGAGGAGGGTGAGGAGTGGGGCTTCGGCCAATGACTTGTAGATGGCCGGTTAGATTCCCACCCGCGTCACATTTCGCTGGCACAACTGCATCAGGAATGGTGACATACACACACCGCTTTTATGTCTCGAGTTAAATGAAGCTTCTAGTATGGGCACATGGAACGGTGGGTTCTAGTCAGTGAAATGCAACAAAGAAGGGTAAACCTGATGCGTACAACTGCATACATGGACATCTGTTGCACACAATGGCTCATGTAAACGTGTCAGCTGTCGGGCCTTCACATCGATGAGACCATAGCCAAGAAAAATCACCAACGCTAATAGGCCCCTCAGTGTGGGGAAAAGGCCTTCCCCATTCCTCAACTCATTACGGGCGCTTTATCTGCTGAGCCTAATTCTTGCGCCATGGCCGCGACACTGTGACAGCAATGCATGGCAGCTTCCTGCTCCGATAAGGCACTAATCTATGTCCTCACTAACAATTTAAAACCAATTTACCTCTTGCAGCACACATCAATTGCGCTTGTGAACGCAAACACTCGTTTACCCAGAAATGACCTCTGGGGTGTTGTTTCCTAACATTTAAACCCATTTAACAACTCGGTTATTGCGGAGCATGGAGAACGAATCGAATACCAATGAGCCTCCATGCTGGACAGGCCTTCCCTACTTCGGTGATGCTCTGAATTTAGTTGTGCACTGAATTGAACGGTACATTGGCATTTAATCTAATATGCTGATACAAGGCCGCATTATTCAAGCATTCAACACGCATCGTTTACTCGTAACACCACGTGATATGCTTCATACACTGCACACTCATGAATTCCCCCAACAGGAATGGCACGACCCAGCCATGCCACATTCTCATTCGTGTTGGTAGCCGACGCTCAGGTCCTCCACGAGTGGAGAATCCGGAATTCGCGCGTGTCTAGTCAAGCGCTTGACGCACGCACTCGCCACGTGGTCGCAGCCGGTGCAGCCGATGCGGCAGACGCCGGTGTCGTTTCTGTGACTCCAGGCGCCGCAGCGTTTTCTGATGCAGTACACGGAGCAGTCCTGCAACGGGGCGGCCCAGGACCGGATATGGGTCAGACGGCTGGGGCGAGAGCGAGGAGCAGGACAGAGGGAAACGGGAGAGGGGGGCGGGAGGGGAACGGATGAAAGCACGAAAGGGAGGTAAAGGGAAAAGAGGAGGGAGGGGGATGGAAGGGACGGAGAGAGGGTGAGATGGAGGGAGAGGAGGAATATAGAGTGAGGGAGGGACGGAGGGAGGGAGGGAGGGAGGGAGGGGGTAGGGAGAGACGGAGGCAGGGAGGCAGAGGGGGAGTGAAGATAAGAAGGAGAGAGAGGGAGAGAGAGAGAGACAGAGAGAGAGAAAGAGAAAGAGAGAGACAGAGAGAGAGAGAGAGAGAGAGAGAGAGAGAGAGAGAGAGAGAGAGAGAGAGAGAGAGAGAGAGAGAGAGAGAGAGAGAGAGAGGGAGAGGGAGAGGGAGAGAGAGAGAGAGTGACAGTCAGCCGGGTCTGTCTTTGCCTGTCTCTCTCTCTCCCTCCCCCCCCCCCTCTCTCTCTCTCTCTCTCTCTCTCTCTCTCTCTCTCTCTCTCTCTCTCTCTCTCTCTCTGAGCACGGAGCACGGAGCTTTGAGCCGGAGCCGGTCCAGGGGTTTTATTCGGTGACCTCATGTGATAACAAATGAGCACTATCCCAATACCACGCCAATCTTACCAGCGTCAAATTACATCACACCGAACTCCATATTGAAACAAGTGAAAGCCGTCTCAACCGATCGCAAAAATCTGCACGATGGTTAAAAGTTTAGCTTTGGCTGTTTGTTCAAAATAGTTTTGCCCATTTTGATTTAACGACGACGTAATTAATTTTTTTATTTTGAAATTTTATTTGTAATTTTTTGTATTAAAAAAATTGTTTAAAATAATTAATTTTCAATAAGATTTTTAAAATAAAATTCAAAAAAAGAAGACATTAACGACACATTTTGTCAAACGCCATTTCGCGATTCGCCATTCGTTGATAGGATTGGAATGGGTTTCTCCGTGGCATATACACATTATAATTAATGGCAATAACACAAAATACAAAGCATCGTATGATGACAATGGAGCCAAGCGAAAGAAGCCGTTCGAGCGTTCTGTAGAGTTGTGAACAATGTTACAGACTGCAGAGTAGTTTCGCATTGGTCTCCATGCAAGCGTAGCTGTCTATGCCCAGGCTGTCACTACCTGCCTCGTGGTCAGTTAAAGATCACTTCGTCGCAAATAGTCATTTCATGCTCACCTTGGCGGTCACGTTACTGACAATTTGCACCGCCACGTTCAGCCCCATTTCTGGGATCATATGGAACGAGTCGATTACATGCCTGCAATAGGAGAAAACCACGTTAGGATACATCCATAACAATGCCGAGTCAATCTCAAGGGAATCCGCAAATTTCAATGACACCCATAGCATGTTGACGCATTTCATTGGTTTGCAAAATTTGACGTAGTTCATCTAACTTTCCGTGGTCTTTCCGACTATTATGGCAATTGGAGTAAGTTCAAATACTATAGGTTGTGGAAATCATTATTGCCGCGTCCAAACTGACTTGCGGCATGATATGTAACTATGTGTGTATACAAACATCGCAAAGATACCTTATTTATCATTGGGACCTGCCGTCTATGACAACTAAGCTGGGGCACTCCGGCTCTGATGGTCACAATTATTCATGTCTACAGAAGAGGTTCATGGCCTTCCTATTTTCCAAACGTTGAACAGCGGAATTGGAGCTCACCGAGGATTACTAGAGGCGTTGCTGAATTCCTTCGGTTAAAATAAATCTCCATGAAACATCCAAGGATTAAGTTAAGCAGATACTAGTTGAATAAAATGCGTAATTCCCGAATAAGTGAGTTGGTAGAGCAAACTGTGGTGAGCAGAGAGCGAATCCAATGTTTCGGGAAAAGCCGGCTATCTGATAGCTCTGTTATCAGCTTTATTGTCATCATTATAGCTCTACTATTTGGTAGTTCTGTTAAATAATAGAAAAATACCATCTTCGCCAGACCATCCAGAAATAGGCACGTTTTGCCTAAGACCACCAGATCACTCACCCGACACCCGGCTTCATCTTATGTTTTGCCTACGATAACCAGATCACTCACCCGACACCCGGCTTGATCTTATGTTTTGCCTAAGACTACCAGATCACTCACCCGACGCCCGGCTTGATTTTCCGCTTCACTCTGCGTCCAGGAGGGTGGTTGCCGGGCTCCGCTCCCAAAGGCCGTGACGTCACCTGATCCGACGAGAGACCTGTGATTAACGTCATGAAACGAGAACAGTCGCGTTACACCCTGATGACCTTGACATAGTGACGTAACAGTCCGATGGAGGACATGCGCATCACGGCGGGCACATTCGGGATTTCAATGCTGCTTCCGTGCGTGCTGCTGCCTGCCTTTCATCGCTATGCGCTCCAGCAGTGCTTTATGTCGACGGACACATGCGAAAAACGAATGAAATACAACGCTCATTCAGGTAAGACTGCAGACAGCAGTGACATCGGCGTGTCTAAAATGACACGCCGATGTCAACGCTGTCAATTTTTCAGTTTTGGACAATGCTAGTTTAATATAAACGGCATAAAATGGCTCATCCCGGCATGTATTCATCGCCTTTTCTACGTGGAATGTAACCAGAAATAGCCTGCATGAATAGCTCAAGACTTCGTTTTCACTGACAACCATTATGGAAATGTTTTCGGTAGAGCCCATAAGTCTCAAACGAAACATCACCACATAAATGAGTATATATGAGCTCACCTTCAAATGTGACGGGTACTTTGCGTCGTTCTTGACAAGCGGGCCTGTAAGAAAGAAGTTCAAAGTAAAAGCAAAGCTTCTGTCTTTTCATATCAGTTCAGATAAAACCACGTTCATACCTGCACATTTGTGTGCACATAAAACCACATGAATCACTTACACTAATTTCACAATGCTTATGGCCACATTGTACAATCAGTACATACCGCTTGTCATTGGCAAAGGCCTGATGTTCCGCGTCTGCACGGCAGACAAATAAAGGAAACTGACTTAGTCCCATGGATTATTTACTGCAGCCGAGCTGGGGACAGGACGCCGGCTGGGCACAGCTTGCTTCGTGAAAGGTGACGCTTCCTCACGCGTGGGACGAACGCTGGGACAGCCATATTTCGGGAGCGTCAAAAGATTGACACCGTGTCGTCCAGCGCCGTGGGACAGCCGCCAACGCAACCAGCGCTCTTGTGGAAGCTGCCGTTCTCTGCCGCTGAGATAAGGTCGCCTTTGGAGGGTATTGGCGGGAGTTCACTGACGTCCACAGTGAGGAGCTGTGGGTTACGTCAACCATTCAGCCTGTCCTTAACTCAGTTCGGCTACAGACGCAAATGTGCCCATTGGTTTTGAGGATCTTGTTCGGCGTCTTTCATTAAATGTGATGATAAGGGAGCGAGCTTTTCTTTTAGAAAAATACGACAGTTAACGAATTCCAAACTAAAAAATCTTGCATGTGATGGGTGATGGCAACGCAATAAATGATCATGTTCCAGTCTCGCGCCGCTGGAAGTCACGTTCTCTGTGGTGTAACTGCAGCTCAATACATCCAGGATTGTTTTGGGGCAGCTGGTGCTGTTGAGGGAGCTGATGTGATGGTATAGCCCCCTATGCTCCAGCATGTCTTACAGCATTGCCGTAAGACAGTGCTGCTGGAGAAAAATGTCACCGTTCTGCTCTCCGTGCAGGAACATGAGCGCCAGTAATGAAGATCTAACGAAGTAGTTCATACATATCCTGCCAGTCAGGTGTTCTCTGTCTCCCTCCAGATAGTTGCTCATCTCTCGTATGTCTGCGCTCCATTCGACTCAAAACTCTGCAGGAGTACGGCGGTAATGAGGAGTTCACCAATGCTTCTTGTCTCGATGATTCCGGCAGGATGCAGGGGAACTCCGTGACCATGGCGTGAGTGCTCTTCGTCCCATCGGAGCTGGCAATGTATAAGTCGCAGTGGTCAGCCCAGCTACAGGTGGGGCCAATCTTCATGCTCAAGACCTTTTCTTAACAAGTCAAACAAGAAAAGTTCCCTGGGATAATCTGGCTGGTTTCCCGACATAAACTTGACCGTTAACTAGCCAAATCGCAGTGCTTCGTCTCAGGTGCTCGTGTTGGCGTGCTCGTTAAGAGTTTTGACAAGCCCCGAACTTGCATGCTGAACTTTCGAACTTTCGTGCTTGTGGTGCAGTTTCTCAGCCAGCCCGAGCCTGGTCTGCTTTCTTTAAGCGCCACCAATGTGCCGTGGAATGCACAGTGCCAAGGTTAGAAGCGGCTTCGTGATGGCGCCCCCTGATACGAGGCTCGAGACCGATTTGAGACGAATGGCGCCAGTGTTCTTGATAACCTTGTGATGGGCAAAAAGTACTGAGTACTGAGGTACCAGTGTTCTCGATACCTTGTGATGGGCAAAAAGTACGCGGTTCTCAGGCCTTGGAGTCGCCATAAGCTCGCTTAGGATTTTCCTTGCCACCTTCTCCAGCCCACCATCGTTCTCGCTCTCGCTGGTCTTTTAGCTTTTGATAAACTGTCTGAAGCTGGTTCTAATCCAACCGCGTTGTCGCAGCTCTCGATGTGGAGCATGAGCTTCCCGTCACCGAAGCGGTCTGTGATGCTGTGCACGAAATGTCTTATTGACGCGGTGCCCGAAGCGGCGAGGTAAATGGAATACAGCTCCGGTGTCGTCCAGTCGGAACGAAATCTCCGTTTTGTGGGTGCGTTGCTCTTTCACTTCCACGCGAGTCCTCTGCATTGCCATCTTTTGGGTGAGCATTTCGTGCAGCGGCACTTGGTGGCTCGCACTCCCTGTCACGCAGCGTGAGCTTGCACAGGCAGCATGAATGTCAATTTGTACCTGCCGCGCTTCTGAACCGCTTTAACATTCGTCTCCCTCACTCTCCGTTCCGCCGCGAGTGTTGATACCGCCCCGTCTCCGCGGGGTACCCCGCGTGCCTCAGCCATGCGCCGGTTGGCGGGAGTCCCACCACAGCGTCTGCATAAACATCAAATGGGGTTCTCTGTTGGAAGGCAGGGGGGCGGGACTCCCAGATGGTCCCAGCCTTTTCTTGCCACTCGCCCCTCTTCTTTATCCTACAGCCATGAAGGGGTCATTGCAGTCCAAAGGAGCTTTATCAAAACCAAACCAAATCAAATCTATTTCATATCAGCCGAGCCCCACCAGTTGAGGGTCGATTGCAATGACAGGATAAGACGGTATGCGAAACACTACACATAATTGTCCATACAATATTTGTATGGAAGGTTACAATATAGCCTTCCCGACAAACTAGCTCAGGAAATACGCTTGGTGGGCTAAATCCGTTTGAATTTGCTGTCTTCCATCCACTGCTCCTGATATCCTCTTCTTGTACCGAATGGAATATTTTCAACATTTACTATCGTTTATGCCATATGCCCCCTGTTATATATATATATATATATATATATATATATATATATATCTTTTGGTACGGAGAACATAAATGAAGCATAACTAATTGAAGTAAGACGGATTGCTATTTTCATCTTCATACATGTAAGAAACACTCATAATGGGAACATCACAAAGACACAATGGGAACACTATTGTCACAATCACATCAGAAGTGCTCACCGCCCACCACCTAGTAGCTCAAGAGTTCTGCAAGAATTTGTCTGTCTGTTTAAGGCCGGAGAGAGTTTGTTAATGAATATGCTTTCCCAAATTTGAAGGCGTCTTCTGTCACTGCACGTCCGTAAAATGTCAGTGCTGTCTGTCAGTTGTTGTCGTGTCAATGTCATGTCGTGCTCCTGTCGCATGTGGTCCAGAGGTGCCCCGTCACGTAAGTGCATTGTCAGGCGTCGTGAGAGTGTCGTTGTGGTCACACCAATGTAGTGTATGGGACGAAGTTTGCAGCCTTCGATGTTGCATTGGAATTGATACACTACATTGGTGCATTTCAGTTTGTCGGGTTTGTCTGGGCTGTTTCTCATAAGAAAGTTCGATATTTTCTTATTACAATAGTAAATGACAATGTCTATTTTGTGGTCGTTTTTGCCTTTAACATGTTGAGAGATAATTTCCCGTAAAGCTTTTTTTTCGTCCTGTATATATATATATATATATATATATATATATATATATATATATATATACATATATATATATATGCCGATGTTAGCGCCCATTCATATATGCAATATATGATATACAATCATATCTATGCTATCATAATCATTTCTATCATATATGCAATATGTTCCTGTCAAATCATCATGTCAAATCATGCTATCTTTTTCTATCAGACATGATATGACATGACAAGAAATGACACCGGTAACACGCCTTTGCAGTACGGGACGAGCGAGGTGATCATAACTTGATTATCACCATGGAGATGAACCTAGCAGAAAATAAACGAATGGACCCTGCCCGAGGAAATTAAGTCCGCCTGCATAGACTGAGGCAGGCGTTTTCTATCTCAGCAGCATTTCTGTGTGCTCGACGTTAGAGATCGCCAGGGGGCGAGAAACTGTGATGACATCAAGATCAAAATGCATTATAACACCGCCTCCATCAAATCTTGCAGCCGCCAGAAAAAATAAGTACCACCAGAACACAACCCATCCCCTATTCACTGAGCATGTACGCATGTGTGTGTGTAACGTGCGGCGGCAGTACACAATGAGGAATGACATTCCGAGCACCATGGGGATCATGAGTTCGTCTCGTCCCAGCATCATGGGGATCATGAGTTCGTCTCGTCCCAGCATCATGAGGATCATGAGTTCGTCTCGTCCCGGCATCACGAGAATCATGGGTTCGACTCGTCCCAGCATCATGAGGATCATGAGTTCGTCTCGTCCCGCATCACGAGAATCATGGGTTCGACTCGTCCCAGTATCATGAGGATCATGAGTTCGTCTCGTCCCGGCATCACGAGGATCATGGGTTCGACTCGTCCCAGCATCATGAGGATCATGAGTTCGTCTCGTCCCGGCATCACGAGAATCATGGGTTCGACTCGTCCCGGCATGAGGATCATGGTTCGTCTCGTCCCGCATCATGAGGATCATGGGTTCGTCTCGCCCCAGCATCAGAGGATCATGGGTTTGACTTGTCCCAGTATCATGAGGATCATGAGTTCGTCTCGTCCCGGCATCACGAGGATAATGGGTTCGACTCGTCCCAGCATCATGAGGATCATGAGTTCGTCTCGTCCCGGCATCACGAGGATCATGGGTTCGACTCGTCCCAGCACCATGAGGATCATGAGTTCGTCTCGTCCCGGCATCACGAGAATCATGGGTTCGACTCGTCCCAGCATCATGAGGATCATGAGTTCGTCTCGTCCCGGCATCATGAGGATCATGGGTTTGACTTGTCCCAGCATCATGAGGAGCATGGGTTCGTCTCGCCCCAGCATCATGAGGATCTTGAGTTCGTCTCGTCCCAGTGTGTGTCATTGGGGCTTTACGACGCGCTCAGCTCCTGAGGCTATATGGCGTCGCCTGCCTCTCACCCTGGCAGGAAGGGCGGGCACCGCGGGGAATCGAACCCCGTACCTCTGGTTTCTCAGACGCGCAATGGTCAACGCAAACACGTTAACCACCACACTACCGGCACCCCAAGGTCTCGTCCCAGCACTACAAGGATCATGAGTTCGTCTCGTCCGTCCCGGTGGCTCAGTTAGTTAGAGCGCCTGCTTTCCGATCCACCCGCCCGTGGCGGGGTGGGTTCGAGTCACTTTAGGTGTTCGCTATTTGGCCTTGACCGAGAGTATGTACCAGCCGCTACCACCGGCCTGCGGCTGGTAGTAGCGGCCGAGCAAAAGGCCACTTAACGTCAGAGGACAGGGCGAAAATTGAGGAACATCAGCATCATGGGGATCAACACTGCGAATATCATGGATCATGAGGAAGGCAGTTACTGGTGTAACTTAGATCGTTTATCACGCCAAAGCCTTACACGCGCCAAGTTTTTTCCACTGTCATCGCGCTGACTATGGCAGATCTTTTTTGAAAGTTCCGAAATACTTGTCATAATAATAACTTGTCATACTTGTCACATAAATCAATTTTGATTGAGGCAAGTAAAGTGCGCATACGCAATTCCAAGTGGTACAGAATGATGTCACCTTTGTGGCAAGCAACAAGACCTTGGGCATCATCAGCATGATGTATAATGATGAGCTTCCTATCTACGTACAAGTTCAGATTGTCAAAAACCGTCTTAAAAAGTGTCCTAGTTTTCACTCGACGTTCCATCTGCCACGCTGCGGAGGAACTCACCTGTCCCATCGCCAGCACTGCGCGCGGCGGCAGCGGCGGCCAGCCAGCACAACAGCCCCAGTAGCGCTCTATTCATGACCTCGCACTGGTGGTGACAACCCGACACCCTGGCCCTCCACAGCTGGACTCCTCCAGGACGGTGCTGTCCGCGTGGTGTCGCGGATATTCGGCCGCCTCCGCGACGATGAAACGTAAACAGGGCAGATGCAACGGCGGCGGAGGCGGCGCTGGCTGGCCCGGCTCAGATCTGGGCCTGGTTTTCCAGTGCGACTGCGGTCGACCAGAGGCGGCGCCAGAGCCCCGGCCAGGGGGAGGCGGGCGGGGATGGGACTGTGCTGGTCCGTGCGGGTATTCTGGCGAATTTTTAGGCTGTGTGTGGTATGCACGTGAGTGGGGAGGAGGGCAGGATTCGTTGCGGTGCAGTTGCCGGGACGGAGGTCGCGGAAAGCGTGATGTGGGGAAGATGTTGACAGTGCGATGAGAGCTGCCTTTGATCCTGTACTAACTGCGAGTATCGTGACCTTGAGCACTGATGCAGGTGAAGGCCGAGGAAGGATCAATATCCTGTGATGAAGGCGGTCACGACTGACCTGACCTTCAGGTCAGTCATGAACTTAACATCTTCTTCAGGCTAACTTTAAATTCCTGCGCTGCAGAGAATGAAGGTCAGCGAATAAGCCGCGGACTTGTTGGAAGCCCAGTGTCACCTGCGCCATGCGCACCAAGTCGCTGCCAGAAGTAAAGGGTACGAACCGTGGCAAGAGAACCCTGACACGTGGCCAGAGGGAGAACTGCGGCAGTCGGTTATGCGGAGGGCGAACGCTTCCGGGTGTGGGGCTGCTGTGAACTGCACAGGCCGATCCTTGGAATTCCGCGCGCCGACGGAGTCTATCGGATCTGTAATGCAACGCAATGACGTCATGTGATGACGTCATCCGAGTCAGTGACGCTGTTAACATCGGCCAAGTCATCCGAGTCAGACGAGTCCGGCGGTGCCGCCTTCCAAGCTTGCTCAGCTGACTCTGCCCCTGCCAGTGAGGACGGCAGAACCGGCGCGGGATACACGCTGACGTCATCCAGCCCGCAGCCAATGAGCGAGGGCGTCGTGCAAAGGGATTGCCGGATGATGATTCTGCGCAGATACTGTGCCGGACTTTCCGCCGGTGCGGTTGTTGGGGGAAAGCAGGCTTATGTACAGGGAAAGCACCGAATAACGAACAGCGGGAAAAGCCAACCATTTTACGAGCTAATGACGACTAGCGCATCTGTTCGATGGCTCTCCATGCATGGAATGCACCGCTGGCGGGGGGGGGGGGGGGGGGGGGGGGGGCGAGGCAGATGCACCTTACAAACTTCTCCAGAATTTAACCTTCCACCTATATGTTGCTTTGAAAGAAGTGCCTTCAGTGCCTGGATATTCCATAATTCTTGCTCCGTGGCAAAACCAGTTTTCCACTATGACTACATGTTACGAGATTAATTAATCTCTGATAGAATCATGCACAACTGAGCGCCATTCGTTATACGAAGCGCACAGGCCCAGCTCGCTTGATCTTGCTATCGCAGGAGTGTGTGTGTTCTATTAAGTTTGGGGAGGTCCTGCTCCTCCTGAACTATGAGAGAGAATTGGGCCAACTTCGGGAGTCTCCCACTCCTGACCATATAGACCATATAGACAATATAGACCATACAGACCATATAGACACTTTGCAATTTTATGACTTGGCGAAGTAACCTGCGAAACACATACGAAACACACACAAACACACACACACGCACATATTTATATACATGTATTTTATGCGTATATATATATACATATATATATATATATATGTATATATATATATATATGTATATATATATATATATATATATATATATATATATATATATATAGTTTCGTAACAGTATATTATAATATGACATGACACGTAGTTGCAACAAATCGATATAGATACACACAAATACCCATACACACATACACACACACACACACACACACACAAACATATATATATATATATATATATATATATATATATATATGTTTGTGTGTGTGTGTGTGTGTGTGTATGTGTGTATGGGTATTTGTGTGTATCTATATCGATTTGTTGCAACTACGTGTCATGTCATATTATAATATACTGTTACGAAACTGTGCACCAGTATCATACTCTATAAACGCAAAGAACAAAGTAGATGCCGTTAAATGCACGTTGGCCCGTCCCGTATGTTGCACGCCGAAATTCCCGAACAAATCAAATGTAACATGCGACTGTGACGTGCCGGATATCCGACTTTAATGACACTGTCCTGATCGCCGCATTCTACCACTTATCCGGTTGCACGCCGGTAGAACTGACTGCGTTTGCCTTTTAAGTCCTACACATTGACGTGATCTGACTCTAAAGCAGGACAAAAGAACTCCATCTTGAAGAAGCTAACACAAAGGCATGATATTCAGCGGCAGCTGAGGGTGACGAACCAGGATTGTGCCCAACACGCGCGCCCCTGAAAGCCACAACATTTCCTGGAAATAGTACCGCATTAGGGGGATGTCCAGCGGCCGCTCAGTAAAACCACGGTCGTCATATAAACTAGACAGACACCCGACCCGCCGCCGTGTAAACATTCTGGGCTTCTTCTGCGCCTTACAGGGGTGTGCTCAGAAGGTATTTACCGGACGCATAGTTGCTATTGGAAATCCAAGGCCAGAAAAATAGTTATGGTCCTATATATATATATATATATATATATATATATATATATATATATATATATATATATATATGACTTGGCGATATATATATATATATATATATATATATATATATGTATATAAATGTGTGTGAGTGTGAGTGTGAGTGTGTGTGTGTGTGTGTGTGTGTGTGTGTGTGTGTGTGTGTCTACTAGACGTGCGGCACTCATTAACGCGCACCCCGGTGAGGGTCAACTTGACCCCCAAATGTTTTTTTCCAGATTTATTTTCAAACAGCGCGGCGTAGCCTCGCCAAACTTTGCATAGCAGTAGAGAGTTGAACAGCAGATCGCTTGATGCAGAAAATTAAATTAGATGTACCTTATAAGGTCGCTGACATGTGACAGGTCAAAGTCAGGTCATTGCTGTCGCCGATGGGCATTTTCAGGGAGTCGTTCAATGTGATGCAACAGAAGGGTGTTAGACGGAGTCATACATTTCTGAGGTAGTGCTTAGGAGATTAACCAATTTAATTTAGAATTGCAACAAATTCCATCGGTTTAGGGCTAGGTATGAAGGCCAGGCTGAGGTCAAAACTACCTTACTCTTTTGCTCGAGAGCGTGGTTTATGAGTTAGTTTCTGGTTCTTATTTCTGGTGTATGAACGATAGGGACCGCAGCAGACATATTACATGAACTTCCCAAAGGTTATAGTAGGCCACTGAATTAAAAGGTCCCTGTTCAACATCTTTTTTGTCGGAACATATCGCCTGGTGTAATTCCTGACGATTATCCGAATGGCAAGATAAGATAAATCTCGTAGGTATTTGATCACCTTCAGCTTCGAGACGGGACAATTGAAAGGCGCCAGGAGTGTTCACCTAATTGAACCGCTTACTAAATATCAACAGAACACTTAGGGAGAACCTTCGCGACCTAGCGTGATCGTAAAGAATGTCACAAGGTTCAACAACAAGCTGTTCGTTTCCTTCAATAGGGGCACCAATCTAAAAGATATTTTGGTGCACACAACAGACCAAACAGCTAGGTTAGCAAGCTGAAATGACACAAAGGGCTGGTGGCAAAGTTGTGTGCGCAATGTCATTTACAGACGAGAGAGAAAATTGCAGGGTCCGGTGGAGGGGACATGCACGCACGACATAGCAGTACGGTGTGTGTCATGCAACGTCATCTGTGGCATCTGGTGTTAATTTTGTAAATGTGTAGCGCATGTGAGAGAAAATGGGTTTACTCTTCGGGGATTCAAAATCCTTTGCACCTTAGCAGATGCAAAAAAAATCCGGGATGGAGGTGGGAGATCACTGCAATTGAGAGAGGCGAAACATTAATCATGCCAAGATACATGGGTTTCTAAAGCGCCTTTCATGGCATGGGAGGACCGATAAGAACTGCGCAGATGACATATATGTCACATATGACATATGACTCACATGTCTATATAGGCATTACGGGGAACAGTGGCGCAGCATATGCTAGGCACACGCATCCACTGTCATTTGGTAAATGGTGCATGAAACTTGATGTGCTGACGGAAACGAGTGTAACGAGCTAACACGGATGACACCATTTTTATACTTCGTGGACGAAGTTACACGAGGTTACGTGTTTACCGATAAAAAATTCCAGGACCATATCATATATCGTGTTTATAAATAATGGCTTTGCTGTCTTGCCCAAATGGCATCAAAGGGAGTGTTCCACATTTAGGGATATTGAAGCAAGCATCATATGTGATTACATAAGCTCACCTGTACATTTAAGTGGGGAGGGCTTCTTTTAACAATACAGTTTCTCTGTTTAGTAAATATGCTCCTCACAGCGTCACTGTTTGGTTATGTCACCGTATCTTGCATAACATCGATTGAGAGCCAATTGACGGCCGCTATGTCTTGAAATCGTGCTCACTAAAGTCAGATATGAAAACTCAAGAGTTTTAACTCAAGAGTTCAATAGGAGCCTTAATCGCCACACGACTAATGGAATGGCAGAATTTGAATAACGTTATTTTGGCGTCTTGAATGCCTGGATGACCTTGAAAAGTCTCCCTGACATAGTCTGCACGTCTTCGCGGGCTCGCAGCTCAGAAGCTAAAGGCGTTTAGGCTTTGCAAAGGATAGTGAATGCCGAGTGCCGAACTACGACGAATGATCTGCAACATGACTTTTTCAGCTAAAAACCCATTCAGATGTGACGCACTCACTTCGACAGCTAGTGTAGTGGCAACAAACGTCACGAAAATCTCCGGTAATGTTTAGATCAGTGTTCTACAGTATATATATATATATATATATATATATATATATATATATATATATATATATGTGGGTGTGGGGGGGGGGGGTGTATATGGGTGTGGGTGGGTGTGGGTGGGTGGGTGGGTGTGAGTACACACGTTATATAGATAAAGAAATACTTAGATAGGTGGACAGATAATAAGATCGCAACACAAATTTTACAGCCACGGTAACTTTAAGAGCATGCACCCACACGCGGTCCACGTAGGCATAATGGGG